CCATCAGTATAAAAGAACATGTAAATGCCCTGATAACCAAATGAATATTGTAATGTGAATCCAAAAAAAAAAATCCACAGATGGCTTCAAGAACTTGGATTTAAGGCCTAAATGAAATCTTCCAATGTTCATTCTGGGTCAGAGAATGAATGTGAGAAAGCAAAATATAAATACCATCAAGAATTTTATGAAACGGTAGAATAAAATCTGTCCATTTCCTTTCAGAGCCAGTGAAGAGCAGATGAAAGTGGAGCTGTGTGCTGTTAATTAATCTGAGCCCATGAACTGAAATGAATACAGGCCATCTTTTATCATAAATAAATGAAGAATGCCAAACTTCCTGCTATAAACAAATATGGTGTACAGTTCCCCTGAGTCAGCACAAACAGAAATGATTCTCCGCTATATGGTCTCAGGAGACTTCCTACATAGGACACAGATACTCTGATAAACTGCACCAGCAATGAAATGCACACCGAACCCACACTCATCCATTTATCATCTCTGCTGAGATGAAGTTTCAATTTATTTTTAAAATAACTGCCAATGTTACCACTTTTTATATATTTGCATGTTTTATATGTATTTTTGATACCTCTCTTCTAAGAGCACCATTTTACAGTTAAAAGCCCCTGGTTACGGTTCCACTGCATGCTTCTTAAAAAGGGAAATGTGAGTTTGAAGGTTATCTTTCACAAAGGTGTGTAGCTAACTGCTGCAAGAACCCCATTCTGGATCTGCTTCCCTCTGTGGCGATGAGCAGAATATCAATCAAAGTGTCAAGCATACAGCCGACAAGGCCTTGTGCCTTCACACCTGAGCGGGAGGCGTGGACGGCCTTCGGCCCACACCTGAGTCATTAGCAGTGCGGGGAGGCAGTCCTCGTCACCCTGGTGACTCCTCATCCACAGAGGAAGCCAATCTCATTTCTCCTCCCTGGGTGCGATTCAATTAAAGTTAACCATGAGTCGCAGGTTCTGACGGCACCCACTGAAACTGGAAATTGGTCCCCCCAGGGTGCGGGAGATTAAAGGAAAGAAAACACAATCTGGAGAAGGTTTTTTTTTTTTTTTACTTTTACCATGACCAATCTGTGGAGAATTGGTGCTGTTGCATTTGACGCCAATCAAGCCCCTCCCCATTCATGCCAGCTTTTGAGTACTGCTTGTCTGACATGCCTAAACCTTTCCGAGCAATGACATTCCCGGATATTTTTCATTCTTGGTATTTTAATCACATCAATGGCAATAACAGAGGGATGTTCCCTCCTACTAAATTCGAACTAATCGGCTGAATGAAAGATCGATTCTGGCACAGCTGTGCTTAGAATGAGAAATAAAAAGCACAGCTTCGGCTTAACCTCTAACAAAACGTAAAAATCAGTTTGGCACAGTAAACGGTGAGATTATGTTCAAGGTTATAACACATGTAGATTAAAAGAAGGAAATACCCACAGTACAGATCAAAGGATGACATTTCTGTGATCTCCAATACTGCCAGGTGTTCTACAAATTCAGTTTCCTATTTTCACCACGGTAGTAGGTACAACTATAAGACTGCAATATCCTCTTGCCATTTACCAAAGCCTTTTCTTGCCTGTACAGATGTATTCTTCTCTTGTTGTGTTATTTTCAGGTTGATGTCTCCTACATGGCTGTCAGACGCAGTTACTGCAACTCTATGAAGACTGACTGAACCCTTTATATGAGGGAACACAGCAATAATAGAGCTTTGGTGAAATGCATTAAGCAGCTGTTGACGGAGTCATATCTGAATTGTGGAAACCTTTGAATTCAGCACAAAAGGATAGGACAATGTTAGCAAAATAAAGAGACCCGGCAAATCTCCTCACCATACACTGAGAATTTAAAACAAGGCATCGCTCCTGCCTGTAACACTTTCACAAAGTTATCATCTTGTTAAAATCTTGTTTGTATATGAATTTTGCAAAATGTATTTCACTAAAAACACATAGCATAATAACTTCATTAGATTGACAAACATTGGAATCCACTGGGGTTGATTATCAGGGTGACTGAAAGTAACAGTTTAGCGGTGTGTGTGGCTTCCTCTAGAAGGGATATATGCTGCTCTGCCGTGAAACACGCAGCAGATTCTTACTTGAAAGGCTCGGTCCCAGTCCTCCTGTAAAGCCTAAACAGGCATGTGCCTGCTCATTGGTCTCTGACCTGAAAACACCACAAGTCATCCCAGCTCATCCCTTACATTTTCAGTTGTGCTCATGTTACGCTACTTTTGCTTGGCAGACGCTCTTATCCAGAGCAGCTTACACACCTCAGAATTTTATAGCTGGATATTTACTGAGGCAGTTAAGTACCTGGCCAAAGGACACAGCAACAGTGGCCTGCCTGGGGATGGAACCAGTAACCTTTGTGGTTACCAGCCATCATCCGTACCACCACACCATACTGCCGCTCAGTTCTGGTTAGTTGGGAGTCTCATCTTTCTAGAGCACCACTGTTACACAAGTACCATTAAGACATGTGTTGTGGTGTTGGGCTACTGTCACTTCAAGATCAGCCCAAAAGAAGGACAGCAGGTGAAGCCCTAGTGCAGTCTGGCGGTGCATAAAGGATCACAAAGATGAATGAGCACAATAAAATCTACATCTTGGTGAGGTTTCCTGAACAGTGATGTCCCTGACTGCCCTGTTGCTGCTTTAACCAGGTTAGAAATAGCTGGCTCTGAGGAGCTCAGACAGTGAGTAGCACCATCTTAGTTAGTCCAAGCCCCTTAACACCATACATAAGAATTGTTGTTCCACTTGATGAGAGGGGCATAACCAGTCCCTGTCTGTGTTCTTCTTTCTTGGCTTGGCCCCAGCTTGACATTCATCAGGCTCAAATCAACTCCTCACTTCTGCCCAACTACCTGTCTTACTAATTATGTGATGCACTGCTTGTGCAATGGTCTGTATGATTAAGTCTGCCGTGAAGGATCAATTAATCAAATTAATGCCAAAAACTTTTCTCAAAATCAAAACTCTGAACACTTTGGTTTCCTAAAATTAGATATGGACAGAGGACTATGTTTCTTTTGATGCACAGTATGTGTTAATAGTTTATTCATTTATTGTATGTATATTTATTTTAGATTATTTTAATAATTCAATGACAGCTAGGTAAAAAACCGCTGATTATGTGTCCTTAATTAGTTAGAGGGGCAATGCAAATTATCCCTCGTCACCGAGCTAATATTGTCATAACCATATGCAATACTTTTGGACTGAATGTAAGGATGAGGTGAAACAACTAAAAGCAAGAAGGACACTTCTAATATCCCGATAAAAACACTCACAAATACGTATTAACTCAGTAGCGCCCGAGCCTGGGGGCATTGTGACGTTGTGAGGATTGCGGTACATTTGCAGGTAAAGCCGCGTGCTTGTGCCATGCCGGTCCGATTGTCAGCATCTCCGGGTCAGCCCCCACGGGTCATTTACAAGATTAAATGAAACTGTTCCCCAATGATAGTCGGTTGCCTGCATTCTCATTCTCACCGTGTATACAATTCAGCATGAGCCAGACTGCATTTTGAAAGCACTAGAGCTAATGCCGAATCCCAAAATAACCAGAATCGGATGCTGTGTGATATCCTCTCCAGGGTGGCGTAAATGCCATTATTACCCTCTTATATTTCATTGACTAAGTGGAAGAAAATTGAGTACGGAACACTGCTAACACTTTCCTAAAACCAGGGGGAAGTATATGTACATGAACTAGAGGTTACATTCGGCCCTTTGCGAAGAAGACAAGAGCTACTACAGTTCAACAAAAAACGAACCCCGGCAAACGTTTCCAGTCATCCCCAGCTGCCAAGGCAGAGAACGGTCCCCATCATGGTAGACAAAAGTGGACCGAAACACAATTATTAACCTATTTTCATTTCCGTTGAGTTAGATATTAACGTTCTCGTTTTCCATTTATGATTTAAAATAATTAACCTGATAAACTGGACGGTTGAGCGTGAAGGTGCACTTTAGAAGAGGCAATTAAGTGTGCTGGCTATCTGCGGTGCAGGTACTCAAAACTGTCGCTCAATAAAAGGTGCCAAAGAGAGGCAGTAAGAAAGATTTGAACATATGGTGGACGCATGGTAATCTTACCGTTAATGCAGCGATACTGTGGCGCGCTTGTCTCGTAGCCTGCAAATGCAGAAAAGTCCCGTGAACCTGGGCGTGCACCTGGCAACGATATGAACTCAGCTGTTGGCAACCACGCGCAGTTTAGAGCAAATTAACTGCTCACGAAATGTAATCAAAAGATACCTCTTACTCTAAAACGAAACCAAAATACACTTCTAATAATCAATGTTAAGAGATGATAAATATGGTCTGTTTCCTGCACGCGTTCTCAGTTGCGCATCTGAGGTGCTAGACTGCTTTCTCTCCTCCTGCCTTGCTCGGAGATTTGTAAAAAAGCATTGCTTTCGACACGTGATCTGTCTCAGAAGCACGATACTCGGTGCGCTCAGCTAGCGGCGCGTTCTTTTATGTCCACATTATGTGATAAGTCTGGGAGGAATATGATTCGAATTGCAGCGTGTTTTGAAGGATGAGGCAAGATTCTATTATTCATAATGATGCAAATTCTAAAAGGAAGATTTTAGTTCCACCAGATAAACATACTAGACAGGACTGTACCCGCAGAAAATGCATAAAACATCTATCTCTCGTTGCTAAAGCTGTTCTCAGTGGCATGGATATTTGAACTTTATATCATATCATATAACATATCATGGTAATTACTGAATTGAAATCGTTTGTGCACTCTGTGTTTCAGTGTTTAGAGTGACCTATATATAACTGCTACAAGTAACAGTGCATATTTCACAGCCTATATTACATTAGTGGCATTTAGCAGACACTCTTATCCAGAGTGACTAACATAGATTACAATTTTTTCCACAATGTTACCCATTTACACAGCTGGACATTTACTAAGGCAATTCAGGGTTAAGTACCTTTCCCAAAGGTACAACAGCAGTGCCCCACTGGGGAATCGAACCAGCAACCTTTCGATTATGAGGCCTGCGCCTTACCACTATGCTACACTGCTGCCCCTCTAGTGTGGTTGTGACATACAGGAATACGGCTTGAAGGCTCATGCCATTCCTATTGTATGGGATATGTTTAGAAGAGTTATGCCACAACAAAACATTATACAATACACCTTGACAATTCATACAACTGTCTCCATTGAAATGACACTTATGCAGAGCAATCTACATATATTAAAATGTTTGTATGCTACCTGTGTACACAGTTGGATATTTACTGAGACAATTCAGGTTAAGTGCCTTGTGCAAGGATACAACAGAAGCAGCCAATCTGAGAATTGAACCAGCAAGCTTTCAGTTACGAGCCCTTCTCCTTCCCATTATACCGCATTGTTGCTTTATATTGCCATTGGTTTGAAAAGTGTTCAGATGAGAAACCTACAGCACTCAAGGAAATAATAACCGGAATGCTGCAAGTTCTAATCCTAGATGGACACTGCTTGTATAACCACAAGCAAGGTAATAACCCCCAGTGAAAGTACAGCAAATGTCCAGCTGTATAAATGGATAGCATGTTCAATACAAGTTATATTGGTAACCCTGGAGACAGATACCCAGTAATCATGCAGATATGTACAGTAATAAAAGCTTTGCCTGAAATAGGTAATGGCTGGAAAACTGAATGGGCAGACTGTTTGTTTCATGATTCTAGAATAATAGCCCTGGAGAGTTCTCCATTTTAACCCAAACCCTGACTGACAGCTCATTACAAATGTCACCATTGATTTGGGCGCATTCACCTTTTAACTGAGATCCTCTCTAGGATCATTCTTTCTCCTGTTTTTAACACTGAGGCTGTAGCAAACATTGCTTTTGCACCAGTCACAGGGTGATTGCAGGCTTAATCATGACTAATGGAGAGTTTTTAAAAGGACGTGGTGAAGGAAAATCACAGGGTAGATCTGGGCATTAATGGGTTAAACAGACAGACATTGACAGTGTATTGCCTGGCACAGACTGTGGTCACATACTCTACAGTTCCAGATACCAGCAGTGCAGCCACCTGCCCACACATTCCAATTAAAAGTGCATAGTGTTTTAGCGATTAGATGAAGTGCATCACTCCATCATGACAACGTCTCCATAAAAAATGGTACCAGATATGAAGCGGGCAGATGATGGACACCCCAGGGGGCATATTTTCTGTGCTGTACCTCTGTCATACAGCACAGACCATGAAAGAACCAGAAAGCGTTTCCTCACAGAGTAGGTGCGTAGTGTATGGTTGCTTGACAGATCTGTTCAGGTCAGGTCTGTTGCAAAGCCAAAGAACTAAGACTGTTTATTTATTTTATGGTCTATAATTACTATTGTCATTTTGAATGTTATTTCTTTACTTCTTTGCTTACTGTGTTCACTGCACTACCAATTTATTTGTTTGAGATGCATAATATACTTACAATTTGTTGTTATTCTCTTAGATACAGGCAAAATTATTAGCTATGATGCACTGACTTTCTTGTTCCTGTCAGCGTAATGTTGTTAAAAGGAAGTGGGAGGTACTGAGTTTATTATACCCCCAAAGCTTACCTTTGTATTTGGTTTTCATAAAGTAATCTAGTTCTTTAAAAGTTTGAGAGGTTACAGATATGATTATTGAAATTATCGCCACGGCTCTTTGTACATGAGATATTGTTTTTAACCTAAAATGAGATTCCTTTAGGGAGTCTGTCAGGCACACTCTAGGAGGAAAGGTTATTGTTTCAATAAAGTAAAGTGAGGAAGCTGTGCTGCCAAATCTGGGGTATCAGCGAGGGCTCTCTGCGAGCCAGCCGTTTCTTCTCACCTCCTCACTGAGTAGCTGCCAGACAGTTTGCAGAAAGGAGCAGTGGGCATCCGCTTCTTCACAAATAAATCAGGCTTTTGAACTTATTGCATCCCTCCGCGCAAGTGTTCAGGGCTCTCACCATGCCCAGTTAGAGGCATCTCCTAGACATTTTATTAAAAGCCAGTTAGAATTGCTGAGGCTCTCTCCAGCCCTCTGCGAAAGTACACTGAGAAGTGATGAGCTAGTGAACAAGAGTGTGCGGTTTGTTGCTCAAAACTGCATCATGAGTTCAACGTGCTCTTTGTTTCCTTGCAGATCAAATCACGCAGCGTTATGGATTCACGCGAGTGCGGCCGACAAAGAGCTGAATATTGCCAGCTTTTGTGCCTCTTTTTCCACGTTCTGAAACAAGTTGTTTCACTTTCTCAAAAGGTGTTCTAGTATTTCTGGACAAGCACATAAGAACACTGAGACCAAAATGTGGTTCACTTGCAACGCCACATCCTTGACTATACAATTCGTGAGGAACTTCCATCGGGCCTTTGATTTTCTTGTCCAACCTGAGCTACTTGAGGAGAAAGCCAATTAGGTTTCTTTGTGTAGGTTGAAATCGCTTGACAATAAATCTGTGGTTTATGCCGACAGACTGCATGGAGCTGGTTCCAGTAATGACATTACGGAGGGCATAAATTGTGAGCGGTAATTAAAAATCTATTTTGCAGAGGAAATCCTCAGAAGGCTATCTCGATCTGTAAATGCATGCACAGAGCCTTGGGCATGTCAGGGTGCTTGATCATGTCACAGCAGCAATTAGTGTGCGGTTTGCAGGCAATGTTACAAAAAAAACTAATTACACTTGCACCCTGTTTATCTTCCACATGTTTCTGCTATTGCACATGAAGTGGCCTGGAGGAACACTCCCCCACCCCTGATGCAAGCTGCGCTGAATTGCTTTAGTCAACACACAATAGCATCTGGCTCCTGTCCGTAGGGCCCTTTCTATACTGGAGATCCGTCTGAAAGCCTGTTTCAGACTCCTAACTTCATTGGGACCGGACGATGTCACTGCGGAAACATCCTGTTCTTTCCTCCCCTCTAACTCTAAAACAACAAAGGCCGGCCCTGCAGCTTATCTTGTGCTTTTGAAACAGCATAGCGGAGCTGGACTGGCTCCAGAGCAGGCAGCCAGCGGAGCAGCAGGGGGTAAAGGCTTGAGAGTCCCCTGTGTTTTCACCGGCCTCACAATGAGGTCAGCACAGACTCAAGGTGTGAGGGCTCCATTTCAGAGGCAGCCAGCACCAGGCATTCCTTCCAGTGGCAAATTCTGGAAAGCCAGAACCAGGACACTATTAAGATGAATAAGCACAGAAAAATATATAGGATAACAGCTCAGCCGGACTTTTCTGCTTAATATCAAAGAGTGTGAGGGTGGGCCCTGTCTCTTTTGTGTTTGGTACATGTTGTTTAAGATGACACATCCAGAGTGCATGAGGAAGACAGTGCAAGGAGGAAGGGGAAAGCTTTTTTATAGCATTATGGTTTCAGTCACCTCTTACTAATTTGTAAATATGCACATTGCAGAGGGAAGCAGTGACCCTCAGGCTGCAAATAGCGCCCGACAGAAACTTACATTTGAACTGATAATGGCCCGGATCCTCTTTTTAAGTCTGACAGCTCCAGTTAAGATCACCCATTAGCAGCTCAGGTTTTTCACCCAGTCATTTTAATTGTGTCTAATGTGGCAGTGTTGTCTTTGTACACAGTATTTTTTATTACAATAAAGAGATTTACAACAAATAATTCTGACAATAAGAAAGATTTGAGATTAATCTTCAACCTGAAAATAATTGTTTACTTTTGTTTTAGCTAAAATAATGTTGGAGGACAGACAGGCAGTGCTGTGACATAAGGCCCAGACAAGTAATCAAGAATCAGTTGCTCATGGGCACTCCATATAAAAGACTAGTGTGCTTGCTAATAAGGCAATCAAAAACATATTCAGGTGTATTGTCAAGAATTCATGACTGTTTAAAATGAGGTTCTCTGCCTTGCCTGTTTGTAGCTTGCTGTCTTTTGCTTGTGGTAGGGATTATACATGACCCCAGTTATGCCATTCTCTCTATGTTAGTATTCATGTCACCGTTAGCTTTTCAAGCCTCAACAGCTGACAGCTTGTTGTTTAGGTCCTTATTTAGTTCAGATTTCTTCTTCCTCATTTTTCTAGGCTTCTAAGCCAATGATTGCAGACATATAATGTTTCATCCATTGATTATTTTTCTTTTGTCAGGGATAAAACTGTGTCCATGTTGTCACTGAGGTTAGATGAGTAGGGAGGAGAGTCTGATGCATGTTACCTTTTCTGGGGAAGCCATGATCAATATATGGCCCAAACCTTTGTCATCTGGCCCACTCTAGTGTTGACCTCATGATATTATGACACTGAAATCAGTCATGCAAACACTGTTGTGTTTGGACTGGCACAATAGTTTATGATATTGGGCTATTCATTGAAAATGGACAATCCTGTCTGCATTTCTGGCAAGCAGAACTGTCATCAGTATTGCTTGATTACTCTCAGGTTTACCACACTTATTGGCCATATTCTGCCTGTGAGCATAAATTCTTTTTGTTCCATAGGTCACTAGCCATGCCAAAAATGTCTACTGGCACATTTCATAATACAAGCATGTTTCTGACCACTCACATGAAAGCCAGCAGCAAATACATTAATCTCTACAAATGGCTTCTTCAAGAATTGTCTTAAAGCTTGTGAGCCACATTTAAACATTTATCCAACCATCCAGGGTAAAACCTTTGTTCAAGGGCATGAAGGCTGTGTCTAACCTCCTGGTCTACCTGAAGTCATGACCATCCATAGAACCAGGTGCTATCCTGTCTTCATCAGGACATTGTGCCCCAGATGGTCAGGCCCTCATTTCTCCCCCACAAGGTCTAATGTCACACCCCAGAGTGTCTCTCTCGCCCCACTGAACTGATGCACCAGGTATTTCACCTTTGAGATAATTCACGGTACAGTGAACCAGGTGACCGTTGACCCTCTTAAAAGAGCATGGATGGGCGGGATATCGAACTCGAGTCAGCCAACCATGTGATGCAAGCGGCATCTCAGCTGTGAGGTACGTCTCTCTTGCAGGAGAAAGCCTCAGAAAAGCCTCTTGCTTGACTGCGCTTGTGAGAAGTAAATGTGAGGAGTGAGAAATGGTGATGGAT